CCCAGTCCGCCCCAGGACGCGAGCGGCCTGCACGCAGGTTGTCCTGTGACAGACGTGTGCCGGGGTACTGCGGCTCCCGAGGGGCAGGGTACCCGGGGCTCAGGCGGTCCCGGCCGGCCGCAGCGCCAGTCCCCGTCCCTCCCGCCCCGGGCCCTCTCTCCCCTAGGGAGCTGAGAGCAGGGCGAGGCTGCCTTGGCATCCCCAACAGGCACCTGTGCTAGGTGCTGACCCTGGCCGGCGCATCCTGGCTTCCGGAGAGGGACAGGCACAGGTTTGAATTCGGTTTCTCAGGGCAAAGCTTCTACTGCCTGCTGGAGGATGGAGGCCGAAGAGGCGTTTGCAGGGCTGGTGCTTTTCAAGCGGCTGTCGGAGGAGAAAAGAGATGTTTAACAGGGATGTTTGGGAACCGGAGTATCAGAGTCACCGGGCTGTCCCTTTGCCAGAGTAGCTGCAAGCCTAAGTTTTGGCATAGGGGTAGGTCTGGGACCGGGCACAGGTTATTTAAAATGTATAGAAGTACTATGTTTGTCTTCAGAATCATTAAAAAGATAAACGTCTCCAGCCTCTGGGTTGTGGCATAGGCGCGGGAGAGAGAGGAGGCTTTTGACAGCAAAGGAGAGAGACTCCTAAGTGGATTGAGCACCAGCCAATTCTGAGCTGCTGGTGCATGACCTCACTCTGCTCTTTGGTTTTCATTGCTTTTCTCAAGACTTCTGGGGACCCATGACTACCAGCTTCTCTTTGGCTTAGGACCTGGTGAGGATTTGGGTGATCTTGGAGAGGTATCAGGATTGGACTGTAGAATAAAGACATACTAATGAGATGAACTGATTTCTCAGCAGTGTGTCCAGTTCGTGCCAGGTAAACGCAGGGACCAGACAATGAACCTGCACCCCTGCAGCGTGTCTGCCAGAGCTGTGTTTCTCGCTGCTTTTGTGCCAAAGAATGAATCTTTGCAGAGATGAATACACTTAAGAGCCATTTTAGAAGAATCTTAAGATAAAGCTGTGGGTCATTTGTGGGTTTTGTTTTTGTTTTTCATTTGTGTTTTAATCTAGCTCTAGCTAATTATGACTGTATGAAACCAGTGGTAAAGGAAGCATGCATTTGGCTTTTTCATAGATGAAAATATGCATGAGTGTTTGTGAATCTTTTTTTTTCTGAAATCACTTACCTTTTATTGATCAGAATATGGCGCATGTTTTGCTGAGCTTGGAGTTTTCAGTAGTTTGCTGCCACAGAAGAGTACTCACCCCTCCTTTACCGATGGGAATTAGCGTAGGTAAATCACTGGCAGGCTATTCCCCAAGCGATATTGACACAAGTATGAATCTTGGATGATGAGAAAGAAAGGATAATGGACCAAACTAAAACTCTTCTTAACCAGCACACTCAGTACCTACAGTTTTAAGTAATCCTCTCCACGCGACCAATATTTTTAAAATTTTATCTAATTGTAACTCATTTTTAATCAGAAATTTTGTATGAGAAATCTTTGCATCAAGTGGACCAAATTATTTATACTGAAGGTAAAACACAGAGAACAGGAGTCAGAACACTCATGTCCCAGCCAGCAAACCATTGTGTCCTTGAAAATTTTCATGAACTTGCATGTATGTACTAGTCTAGAAGCATCTCTCACCCTTCATCTGATCTTTAAGTTGACCTAGCTTTAATAATGAGATTATAGTATTTTAGACCTGAAGGAACCTTCGGAAGAATTTGGCTTAAGACCTACTCATTTTGCTGGTAGGAAAATGAAGGCCCAAAGAAATGAATTGGTTTGGCCAGGCTGACCCAGAAAGTAACGCTCTCCTTACTAAACCATCAGCCTTTGCCTTGCACAAGGAGTTAGATTCTGAGCTTGTCCTTGATGATTCGTGGAACGGGGGCTGTTCCACATCAGAACCGAAACAAAACTCAGAGGCAAGTCCCTGTCGAGGAATCAGACTGGGTTGATTCTGAAAAGCGTTCTTATCTTGGCTCCTGGTACAGAACAGAGCGAACAGCAGAGTCAGCTTTCTCCAGGTGCCTGATGCTGGAAAGTCTCTAAAACTACTGCCTGTGAATTAGTTGTTCCAGAAAACAACACTGTCATCTGCCCCGTAAAAGTGCCCAGCATGAATTACTTTTCGTTGCTTTGTATTTTTAAAGAAAACCCTTAATTTTGTACGTACATTGAACTGGAAACGTTGGAAAATTATTACAGCTAATTTCATGTTGGAACTTGGGTTTGTAGCTTTTTGGTTGTTTTTTTTTAAATAAGGATTGGTGAAAATGAACTAGCCTAAATTATTTAGAATTACGAATAACCAATGTAGTGACATGGTTCAAAGTTTGAGAGAATGGAGAGGCACCCCGCGAAAGCCTTGTTCTCACTGCGCTTGTCCAGCGTCCCGGTTCTAAGTTCCCACACGCTCCCCATCCCTTCGTGACAGCTTTGGGTTTCCTTCAGAGTTTCTCATGTACATACAAGCTATTTCGTCTTAAGATTTAGGACCTTTGATTTTCTCATATGATAGGAGTTGTTTTCTTTTGTTCTTTAGCGTCTTTTTCTTTTTATTACCGATAATGCACATTATTGAGCACCTGCTATATAGCATGCTATTTAGACTGTTCCATATGTTGGTTTTTGTTTTTGTTTTTTTTCACTTTCAGAGATACTGGAGATCTTTTTTTTTAAATATCATCTCCATATTGGAAAGTTTTTTGGTTCTTTTTAAACAATTATATAGTATTCCTTTGTATACACATGCCATTGCTTTTTTCTTTTAACATAGTCTCCTACTGATGAACATTTGGGAGTTTTTTCAGTCTTTTACTATTGCAAACAATGCAGCAATGATTAATGTTATACATATGTCCTTAGGTGAATTTTAGATTTGTTAATAAATGCATGAATACTAATCACTTAAGGAACTAGGTGTGGTGGCAGTTTGTTTTTCTATACTATGTCTGCAATAGCATAGAAAGCTATTTATAGCACTATTCTGCATTTGGTTTGGCCTTTGTCATTTTTGAGTCAGACGCCACATACATGATATTAAATCCTTCTCCAAGATCTTTGCTTCTTTAAAAGCCCATCATCATTTGTTTAGCAAAGGTATGGCTCCGCTGAGGAGGTGGTTTTTAATGCGTGCATGGCCATCTTTTGAAAGGGATATCTACATTGATAAAAGTCATTAGGCTTGTTTTCTCCATCCAGGGAGAAATCAGCATGCTATAAAGACCATTTAATTCATTTTAATTCAGGACCTGATAAATCTAGTTCATTTCCCACTACATATTTGAACAAATAGGAGTATTTCATTTTGCTTAAGTGTTAGGAGGTAAACCTTTTATAGCAATTCAGAATGGTCATCAGAGTCCTGAGCAGTTAGCATCATCGTTCTCTGAATTTTTGTTAACATTAGATTACACGTATGTTTGTCAAATGGGTCTGTCTTATGGTAAGAGCAGTTTTTAAAGCATGGGTAATAAGTTGTCTGTCAAATAGTTATAAAAGTTTCTTTTAGCTTTTGGGACCATCAATTTAATATTAGTTTTGAAACCAGGGACTTAGAAATATGGAACTTACTACATAATGGTTATTTCGTTCTGCCACAGTTTGATTGATACTTTAAAATTAAGTAGGTTCCTAAAATTCGTAGTAAATACATTTAATACCAGAAAAAAAACTAAACGTTGTTCCGTTTATTGATGAATCACCCAGATCAAGAGCTGAAATGCTCAAACACTTAAAATGTGGGAATTTGGTTGCTTTTGAAAACTCCAGTAATTTTGCCTTATTTGTACATTATTGAGAACAGACCAATTTCTTTCACTTTTGGCTTTTTATCTAAAGATTTAGGACCTCTGATTTCTGTGTATGATAGTGGTTATTTTATTTTGTTCTCGAGCATCTCTTTTCCCTTTCTGTTTGTTACCATTCATGTACATTATTGAACACCTGCTCTATAACGCGCATTGGGCTACTCACCAGTATATAGATTCTGACCCTGTGCTCAGTGATTTTGGTGCCTGGGACAAGCAGCAGGATAGAAGCCCTCAAGCCAACTTTGTAAATCATGGCGTGGGTCACAGAAGGGAGTATTAGCAACATAAGCTATTTGGTGGCTGTATGAGTCAGGGTTCTCCAGAGAAACAGAATACATATATATTTGCTCGTGTGATTGTGGGGGCTGGCAAGTCTGAAATCTGTAGGGGAGGCTGGCAAGCTGGCAACTCAGAGAGGAGTTGATAGTATAGTTTTGAGTCTGAAATCTGTAGAGCAAGCTGGCCGACTGGACACTCAGGCAGGTTTCCTATGTCACAGTCTTCAGGTAGAATTCCTTCTCCAAGGAACCTCAGTTTTTGCTCTTAAGGCCTTCAACTGATTGGATGAAGCCCACCCACATTATCAAGGGGTTATCTCTTTTCCTTAAAGTCAGTTGATTGTGGATGTCAGTCACATCTGCAGTTCCCCTTCACAAAGGCATCTAGACTGCTGTTTACCCTAGACTAGCACCATGGCCTAGCCAAGAAGACGCATAAAAGTTACCGATCATAGTAGCGTCCCATTTCAACTAATTATTCTTCCCAAGTAAATGCTAAGCTCGAATTTTAAGTTGCTGAAAGAGTACTCGTGCAGCGAAAACATATTTTTAAAAAAATCCAAAAATTACAATTTTTAAAAATCATTATTTAAAAGTTATGCTCCTTCTAAAATTTTAGAGCTTATCACCTAGGGTCAGAGGCAGAATGCATGCATACAGAGATAAATAGGAATATAGACTATCCCATGACCAAGTGGGATAGATCCCAGGAACGCAAGGTTGGTTTTAATATCTGAAAAATCAATGTTAATACACCGTATTAGTAGAATAAAGGGAAAAAAACCACACGATCATCTCAATAGATGCAGACAAAACGTTTGATAAAATCCAACACCCATCAATGATAAAAACTCTCACCAACTAGAAATAGAAAAGAACTTCCTGAACATGATAAAGGACAGCTATGAAAAGCCCACAGCTAGCATCCTATTTAATGGTGAAATACAAAATGCTTTCCCGCTAGATCAGGAACACGGTAAAGATGTCTGCTTTTGCCATTCATTATTGACTGGAGAGTCTAGCTACTAAATATGTCAAAATAAACACTCTGAAAAGAAGTTTTAAGGCATCCACATTGTAAAGGAAGAGGTAAAACTGCCCTTGTTCTCAGATGACATGATCCTATATATATAGAAAATACCAAGGATTCCACACAAAAAACCTAATAGAACTAATAAACGAATTAGGCAGGTTGCAGGTACAAGATAACATACAAAAGTCAACTGTATTTTTATAGAGAAGCAATATGAAAGCAAAATTAAGAAAACAGCTCCATTCTCATAATAGCAAAAAGAATGAAATTCATAGGAATAAATTTAACATAAGAAGTATAAGACGTACTGTGAAGATGCTAAAATGTTGCCAAGATAAATGCTTTAA